GCGGGGCTGAGCGCGCGCCGCCCGCACCCGGCCCCGCGGGCCCAGCCATGGCGAAGCAGTACGACGTGCTGTTCCGGCTGCTGCTGATCGGGGACTCCGGGGTGGGCAAGACCTGCCTGCTGTGCCGCTTCACCGACAACGAGTTCCACTCCTCGCACATCTCCACCATCGGTGAGGGCGCGGGTCCGGCCGGGGCACGGGGCGGGGAGGCAGGCGAGGCGCGGCGGCGTCGGGGCCCCGGCTCGGGGTGACCCAGGGCAGCCGCACGCGGAGGGCGTTTCCAGGGCGCCGGCTGAGGGTCCGCCACGAGGTGGGACCCCGGGAAGACGGCGAGCCCGCCAGGAGGTGGCGGTGCCGCGGGGACGCAGGCGGCGGGGCGTCTGTCTGGGGAGCCCGAGGAGGCCGGGGCAGGTCGGGCGCGGTGAAGGGGCAAGGCCTGGAGCGTCCAGGAGGAGCCGTGGGGGGGTCGCCTGTTCGGGGAGCAGATCTGTGAGCCCCCCTCCGAGCCACTCTCTCTCCTGGGTCCTGAAAGACCCCCGCCCGAGGGAAGCCTGATCGGTCCGCCTCGGCCAGCGGCGGGGCAGCCTCCTGTGGTCCCGCACCTGGGGGGCCCCCATCCACCGCTCTCCTGGAAGCCCCTCGGCCCCGGAGGGCTCCAGCTCTCGGCTTCCCGGGAGGAGGCCTCTCCCCGCGGCCCCTCAGCACACGCTCCTTGCCAAGAGAGGGGACGATGCGGAGGAGCAGAGCCTTGTGACACACGCTGCAGGCAGAGAGGGGGACATAGGCGCCCAGCTTTGGGCAGGAGAGGGCTGTGCGCCCCTGGGGAGGGCTCCGGGAGGAGACAGGTGTTGGGGAAAGGCGCGGGAGGGAGCCGGGGAGTGGCGGAGGGACCAGATGGAGGATGCGGACAGGTTGTAGGCTCGGGGACAAAGGTCAACAGGTTACCACTTTCTGAAACTGGCAGTGACTATTTTTGACTGGTGCCTGGAACTGCCGAGCTCTTCGAAGAGAGCTATGGGCTGCCTGGGGCCCTGGCCTGTTCCTGAAGAGCACTCCTGTGCGCTCTGGTTTCCGGCCACATCCTAAGTCCCAGGGGTGACCTGTCCTTCCCCTCCGAGAGCTTTGCTCCCCCTTATTGCAGATGCTTTGAAGGCACCTTCCCAGAGTCTGGGGAGTCAGCCTCCCCTGGGAGACACATGTCCCACCGTCTCAGCAGGTGGATGAGGATGAGGGAGCCTCTGTTTCTGAAATACCAGGATAGATCTGAGCATCCCTCGCCCCAGGCGCTAATCACTAACCCTTCTTGTCTCTTTACCCTGTAATCTCCCTTCTTAGATGCCTTCTTCCTGCCAAAGAGGACCGGGAGATAGGCCAGGAACTTCCCCAGAATCCCTCTGGGCAGACCACTCTGCGGGGAGCTGGGCGAGGTGCGCACCAGCGCCCTCTCCCACGCTGGCCCTGGCTGTGCTGGCAGGAAACCTGCAGACAGTTCTCGGAATTCTTTCTCTGCTGATTGCCAGGCCCCGGCCCACAGGGCGCAGAGGAGACCTTAGGAGCTTGGGTTCTGTGGAAGAAGGAAACCCCTTTCTTCATGCCAGCCCTGTTAAATTTGCCCCAGTGGGCTTCCGAAGTACTTTCTTATTTAAAGCTTAGAAGGGTTTGCGGCTGTCCCTCATGTTGGCTGTGTTCTCAGCATTGACTAAAACTTAAGGGAAAGAGGTGGATGCCTCAGAGCAGCTTTTTTCTTAGGTGACTTGGAAAGGTTTCTGAGGAGATGGGAGGGCAGCTAGAAGCCAAGGAAAATGGGCATGGCCAAGTCATGTTCCTTCTTGTATCTGTTCCCCGAAAAACACGTGCCCGAGTACTCGCCTTGGGAGGCTCCATCAGGCCGCGTCCAAACAGTCTTTCACCATGCCGGCCACCCATCTAGGCAGCGATCCATGGAGGTGTCCCTTCTGTGTGTGGAAGGGGAAAGTACGGCCGCTCCACAGTCACTGCCAAGACCAAGTTCCGATTCTTGGCTCGTGCTGATGTCATCTAGGCTGGCTCTTTTGTGTGACCTGCCGTGTGCTGTGCTTGCTGTGACATTTTGTAGAAGCGCCTGCTGGGGAGCAGCGAGGAGATCTTGCAGGTAGACAAAGGCCCCGACTGCCCCTCCTCCATCTTTCTGGCTGGCGGGTGGGCAGGTGGCCCTGCAGCTGGGTTTGTGCCGGTGTGGGTGTTCCTTCCTCCCACAGCTGTGTTCCCGGGTGGGGCTGGTGCAGAGGAGGATGGTCAGTGCCTTCAGTTCTCTGCCTACAGCTATTTCCTGACAAGACGACCTTGCCTGTCGCAGTAATTAAGCATTCTACAAAGCACCAGTCCAGGCAGTGTGGAGACATTGCAATCCAAGTTTTCCTGCCCACAGAAGCTTTCTAGTTGGGCAAGCAAAACACGTGCAGAAAACCCCCAAAAAACTACTGCTAAAAAGAGATAATAGTCAGAAGTACTTGGTGAAGCACTCTTCAGTATAAAGGATCAGTCATTACTGCTCCTCTTAATGAAGGGCTCTTGAAAGGTCTCATGGTGGTTGTCCACGTTAAACATGGAAGATGTGCTCCGGAGCAGCCGGGGAATGGCGATGGGTACAACGGGGAGACGAGAGCTCGCTTCTGGAGATCGCAGGAGAGAGGCCCTTGTGAAATCCAGCCGGCCAGCAGGGAAGGCTGAAGCCAGCCCTCCGGTGTGGGCTGCCTGTGCCCGGGGCCTGCTGCAGAAGGGAGCAGAGGAGCGGCAGCGAGCAGAGGGAACCGAGGTGTGAAGTGAGTGGGCGGGCATGGGACTGGGGCAGTCTGGCCGCAGCAGAAGGGAGTTTTTAAAGGAGAAGACAATGTTCCTCTGCTTATCTCTGTCTCCCAAGTGATAGGTGCCTTGGGGGTGAGAACCACCCTTGTTCCTCTTTGTTCTCCTCGGCTCCCCTCCAGGGCTCCCATCCTGGGCAGGCCGGGTACCATCTGCATACATGTTGTTAAGTTGCTAAAGAGGGAAGGTCGAGCCTTTGGGCCTGGTGGGACTTGGGCCTAGCAGTGGCTGAAAAGGCTTTTGAGAAGGGTGCTCTTGCTGTTGGCTGAAAGAGGAGGTTGAGACTTGAAGTGGGGTGCTGACCATGGCCTGTGCAGCTGTGCATCCGGCCCAAGGATCCTCTTAGCCAGCTCCTCCTCCCCTTGCACCCCACCTGCTTGTCCCAGCGCCTACCTCCACCTCATCGCCCACTCGGATGTCCTTGCAGGTGAGGGAAGGTGCTCAAACCTGTGAGTGGCCAAAGGGGCCCCTGCGGCCGGTGCTGTCTGCTCAGGCAGGACGCCATTTCTGCATGGTGGCCCCGAGTGGTCTGGAAGCCACCAATGCAAGCTGAAGGGCCTGTCCAGGAGTTGGCTTTCTCATCTTTTGTCTCCCCTGAGTGGATCTCACATGGTCTCTGGACCTTTGTTTGAAAAGCTGCCCTTAGGCTGCTCCCTTTTGGGGTGAAGACTGCCTTGGCTGTGACTTTCTGGTTGGACTGGTTGGGCCACTATGGCCTGAGGCTGCCTTCTCAGCTGGGTCGGCTGCTGCAGTCTCACCTTGCTCAGGAAGCGCTGCCAGAACCGCTCCCAGCTGCCTGAGGCGCCGGCCAGGCAGGGTTGCTGAGGGAGAGGGAAGGGCGGGGCCGGGGGCTAGAGCTGAGCCTGGAACTGAGTGACCTAACAGGCGCTGGGGTGCACACACGGGCACTGTGGCCCTAGGATCTGAGGATCCCTGAGATCTGAGGAACTGCGTACAAATGCAGGGGTGGTGGGAGGGTGCGGGCTCGTTCTGTGCTCTGCTGCGGGGCAGCTCTTAGTAGCCAGGCCCTTCCCATCCTGTCCCCAGTGGAGGGGAAGCCAGGTGAGCCCTGGTGAGAAGCCCTGAGCAGGACAGAGAGAGCCCCCGTGGGAAGGGCACACTCTTGGTCTTCACTGGCTCCGTGACCTGCAAACACTTATTTAACATCTTTGTGCTAAATTCTGAATCTACATTGAAGACAGTAACAGGCTCTTTCTTAATGGTTGTTGGGAAGATTACAAAAGCTAATGGATAAAAGGCACTTATCAAAGCTCTCAATAAAAAGGTAGCTGCCATCATTGTATCAGTATTTTTTTTGTTTTGTTTGGTTTGGTTTGGTTTTTTTGCGGTACCAGGAATCAAACTCACAACCTCATGTTTGCCAGGCAGGCACTGTGCCACTGAGCTAAACCCCCAGCCCCCTGTATTATTATTCTTAACTCAGGACCAATACGCTATCAGCAGCAAGCTGTGAGGTCGACCTGCCCGTCACTGGGTTCAGCACTACTTACTGGAAAGCACCACGTGTGAGGTGCTGTGCTCAGCGCGGTCACGCACGTAGGCCCTGTGTTTCACGTCACTTTCTGCCCCAGCACCTGGCTGCCCCTGGCCATCCAGTGTCCGAGCAGGAGGAGTGGCCCGGTGCGGAGGTGGAGAGGAGCAGGGTGGCCTGGGAGGACAGGGGTGGCTCTGCTTCAAGCCTGGGGCCCCTTGCAAAGCGTCTCGCGGCCTCCAGCCCCCGCTTCTGCATTCCTCCTCCCACAGGCACAGACCCGGCTCCCACCCTCTTCCCAAGAAGTGACCTCTGGGAATGAGCACATCTGTGGCTCAGAGGGTTTCGTCTGGTCTGCAGGTTCCCTCCCTGCTTTGAGGGTTGTTTCCCTCCTCCCTCCCTGAGCTCCCTGCTTTCCGTTCCTTCCTCCTCCTCCCGCTTCCCGGGTGACTTGGTGAGAAGCTTTATGACATGAAAGTTGATATTGGGCCGTTCCCCTTCTGCCCCGATCACCAGCTCTTCTCAGAATGCCTCCTTCTGTAATCTAATATTTGTTCCTGTTGCCCTGTAAAACTGCCAGTTTTCTGTGTGGGCCTCTGACCTCTCCTTGGCCCTGCTGCCTGGTCAGTGAGCTCTGCAAGGAGGCAAGGGCTTCCTGGACATTTAATTCCTCCACTGAGCAGGGTTAGGCTCGCAGAGAGCGGATGACTCCTCAGGCAGGAGCCATGGCCTCCCCTCCAGTTTCTCCAGGCGGCCACCGGGCGCGCCCTTCATCCCAGAGGTCCCGCCCACAGGTTGCCAAGTGGAACCTTTCTCCCAGGAGTCAAAGGGGAGAGGA